CAAAGTTCCGGTACTTGGAGTAGTTTCTTTCTTAAACTGCTGTCACGAACTCCGCAGACAATCCTGTCTCTTATCATTTCGTCTTTAAGCGGCCCAAAGTTGCACGTATCGGAGAGAGATCTCAAATTTGATGCGTAAGTGTCGATTGATTCACCGACGTCTTGATTGCGGTTATTGAAGCGATATCTTTCATAACATAACAAGTATACATTGTGATAAAGAGTTCCCTTTTATTTAACAAATCTTACATGACCAGAAAAAAAAAACAAGCTCGCGCGTAAAACTAGTCTTTCCATTTGCTCACGTCGCGTCAGTAGTGTACACTCATGGGCAAATGGTGGACACTGAATTGACCAATCAGAACGCGCGCTTTATGTTATGGTTATGTAATGATGTGGCCTGGGTTGAGTTTGCAGACCTGGTGTCATTTGTGGGTTCTTGTCCTTGCTCCAAGGGTCACCCATTTTAGACCTGGTTTTCATAGAGCCATACTTTTCCTTATCAGGTCGGCTGCTGTTCCATACGAGTGGTCCTGCTACAGTACTGTTGAAGAAGTTGAAGCTTTGCTTTCCTGTTTGTCAATTCAGGGTTTAAGGGAGAGTGAGTTAAAGAAGGCTCTCAAAGAAAAATTGCCAGGGATCACTGATGGAATTGTTAAAAGGTTTGTATGGCCTGAGGGTGATGTTGGATACTCCCAACTTATATCATACTTTGTACTTATTTACTGAGATTTGTCAAATCGGATGAAAAAATATTTGGTTCAGGGGCAAAATATTTTCCTGTTTTGTCCGACAAAACTCAACAAAGCCAGTGAGGGTAGGGTGGGATGGCTTTCATGTTGACCCGTCTGGCCCTACACATGTCGGCTTGGGATTGCATGCAGGGGGGCAGATGGGTCATATGATTTAATTGTTTATTTTCACTACAGCTCAAAACATAATTTAGCCTCCAATGAAATTTTTTGTGCTGTTAAGTTTTGACATATTTGTGTTTTCATTTAACATTAAATAGGAATTCTTCAGGGAAAGTCTTAAAGCCAGAGACTGTAGATGAAGCACCTTATAGCTCCATTAAAGGGGTATGTGTAATGTCACATCACTTTACGTGGGCTCAGACTATGAAAACTAGACCAAAATCACGCAAAAAAAAATTCACAGGAAAAAAATTTATGCATATCAACTTGCAGGTTATTTCTCACCTTCCTCTTTATCACTCTGGAGAGAACATTCTCGCCAGGTATTTCCAAAACAAACAAAAAGTAGAACAAAAGAAATTACTCATCTAAAATTGACTAAAAAAAACCTCATGGTTTGGTATGGTTTGCTGTAAGTTTTCAAGCTAAAGGCAGCTATCATTTTCACTAATTTATTTGCTTTGCTAATATCTTTTAACAGGAATTGAAGGACACAGCTGAGAGACTCGTCAATGGAAACTTAGCAGAGCTTGAAAATGACCTGGAGGAATATCTTGAGGGTGTAGACCAAGCCATGAGTGCCAGTGATTTGGTAACACAGTTAACATTAACCAGTTTTTGAAAAGAATAAGAGAGTAAATTTTAACCTTGGTCGATGATTAAAGGAAGTTTGCATTTTTCACATTCACAATGCTTGTGGCATTGCTGATCCAAGCAATATGCAGGACGAATTGGGGCGAAGGACAGAGCAAAGCTTTTGACAAAATTGGGTTTGGTTATTTAATTCTAGGAAGGAAGTTCTCAGTTCTTAGTTTGCTACCTTTTAGTTTTCGTGGTCGTACGTTTACAGGGTTAGACACCTCAGGTTTAATTAAAACTCGTTTACTGAGGGTGAAATTCGTAAACTTGAATTCTCTTTTACTCAGGCGTTGCAACTTGGAAAGTTATTACCGGCAGTATTACCACGCTTCTATCGGGGTATGTTCCATTTAGACAACAAGGGATCTGAAGAAGCCAAACGAAGATGGTTAGATGCAGTGAATAAAGCAACAACAGTGTCTAGACTGCATCTATTACTTGGAATTTTGGATTCTCTTGTGATATGGGATTTGTCAGCAGAGCATGCGGTACGAAACGCTTTCAAAAAAAACTAGTTGGTTAGGCTTTTGTTATGGCAAGCTCACATGTCAAAATATGATGACAACTTGTTAAGGAAAAATTGGACATATTTTTTCCATACCTGTGCTAAGGAAACAAGAAAAAGTGTAGAAGCAATAATCCAACGAAATAAGTCCACGCTCGAGTAGAGTAATATGCACGTGCTGCGTGCCTACGTTAACCTCTCTTGCCCATGTAGTGGACTAACATCCCGTGAATAAGACAATCACATGACTTTTGGAGAGCGTATAGTTTATTTGTGGCCCGAGTAGCATCATTTGCGTTACGCCTGAGCGGAGAGTGGGTGAAAATGATGCTACGAGGGACTCAAATAAACTATACGCCCTCCAAAAGTCATGTGATTATCATAATTATCCATACACAAGACCAAATCGTATAAATTTATTTATTAAAATATATATCAGGGCGACAAATGCCATTTACAGCCCGCACTTCGCCGTTTAGCCCGCGAAAAGGAGCGTTTTAGGGAGGACAGTTTGTCATTTGGCCGCGTTTATTAGTAATAATGATAATTTAGCCGAAATGTTGATTCAAAAATTATACTTTTATTTTCTGTCGCTTTTATTTTTTGTCTAGCGATGCAAGATTTGTGGGCGCAAAGATATTGGTAAGACATTGATACTGTGTGACCACTGTAACCAAGGTTATCATCTGCATTGTTTGAGGCCAGCGCTATCTGAAGCGCCCGAGGGAGACTGGACCTGCCCTGTTTGTAAGGTAACAGTTCGTAGAAAGCCGTGTTAGGGTTGGGTAGCCTGTAAGCCTTGTCTAAATCAATGGTAGAAGTTACCCTGTGCGAAACCTAAAAAGTAAGCATTTACGTTGGGTACGTCAAGCGAAATCGCTTAGGAAAAAGGATCATGTTTTTGTCCTTGTTAAGGCTTGCAGGGTTCATGGATACCTGAAAGTCAAGGAATTCTATAACATCACATACGCCTAGAAAGTCATGGAGGTTTCCAAGGGAATCCTGGAAATTCAGGAAAATTGACTCATATTGAGTATTCTTAGAACAGCGAATCAAGAAATGAGCGAATTGAGAAATCGTTTTTATCATTATGATTATTTTGAAACCAACCTTTCGATCTAAGTTAAAAAAAAAAAAGTATCAGAAATCCTTGGAAGAGTTAAAAAAAAGTCATAAAATGCTCGGAAGACTACGCACCACCATTAACTGCCGAGGAAGAGGGTTGTACTTTCCACAAGATTTCCTCTGGGTTCCTTTTCAGCCAGAATTTTTCTCGACGTGCTAAATCGAGATCAAAGGTTTTTCGTACTTTAAAAAGTAAGGAAAACTTTGATTTAATAAAGTCGTAGATTGAAGACTGCATTTACTTTGTTGACACAAATAATATTTGCCTTGCTACAGTTATCGAAGGCCATTGTTTGAGCAAACTAAACGAAAAAAAATTTGTGATATTTTTCTTTGAACAGCCAAATGAGAGGGTGAGCAGTCGAGCAGAAAGCAAGAATTACAAAGAAGAAAGTGGGAGTGATATTGAAGATTCAAAAGATGAGGTACATGTTGACGACTCTTTGGGCAACTTACGGCTTCCGAATTTTATCAAATTAATCAATGAAATAAATCAGGTTTTACATGCCGATGGTTTTTTAACTATACTCAGGGGTAACTAGTAATGAACTATACTCAGGGGTAACCAGTAATGAACTATACTCGGGGGTAACCAGTAATGAACTATACTCGGGGGTAACCAGTAATGAACTATACTCGGGGGTAACCAGTAATGAACTATACTCGGGGGTAACCAGTAATGAACTATACTCGGGGGTAACCAGTAATGAACTATACTCGGGGGTAACCAGTAATGAACTATACTCGGGGGTAACCAGTAATGAACTATACTCGGGGGTAACCAGTAATGAACCATACTCGGGGGTAACCAGTAATGAACTATACTCGGGGGTAACCAGTAATGAACTATACTCGGGGGTAACCAGTAATGAACTATACTCGGGGGTAACCAGTAATGAACTATACTCGGGGGTAACCAGTAATGAACTATACTCGGGGGTAACCAGTAATGAACTATACTCGGGGGTAACCAGTAATGAACTATACTCGGGGGTAACCAGTAATGAACTATACTCGGGGGTAACCAGTAATGAACTATACTCGGGGGTAACCAGTAATGAACTATACTCGGGGGTAACCAGTAATGAACCATACTCGGGGGTAACCAGTAATGAACTATATTCAGGGGTAACCAGTAATGAACTATACTCGGGGGTAACCAGTAATGAACCATACTCGGGGGTAACCAGTAATGAACTATACTCAGGGGTAACCAGTAATGAACTATACTCAGGGGTAACCAGTAATGCTGGGGAGATGCATGCCATACAACGGGAAGTCGCAATATTGCTTGTCATTTGATGATATGAAAACTGTGCTAAACTGCGACCGTATGGACCATCTGCTTTCTGTTTGTGTTATACTCGTTCTTATCCATCTGCTTTCTGTTTGTGTTATACTCGTTCTTATCCATTGATTTTCGTTCATCAGGCAAGTGAGGCCAGTTTGAATAGTTGCGATGAAAATGAAGATTACTGCTACACATGTGGAGAAGATGGTGACTTGATCTGCTGTGACACGTGCCCACTGGTTTTCCATACAACATGTCATCAGCCACCTCTCAGGAACATACCACGGTAAAGTCACGTTTACATCACGTGCACACAAAACTGACATTACGTGGCTTTTGCCTAGCTTTATATCACTAAATAATGTTTTTCGACTTTTTAGGGGTGCGTGGAGTTGTTGGTTTTGTCGTCAGCCGAAGGATCAGAAGAGAGCCAAAGGTAATATCCCAAAGAAACCAAGAACTACTTCCTTAATTTCAGTTTCACTCCATACGGATTATCATACTCAGGGCGTAAACTATCAGGGGTTAAAGGTTCTCAGTGGTTTCAATAACAGTTGGTACAAATGGGTATTTGTGAAAGCAGGTGGGTAGTTCTGAAGGCCTGGAAGGACACCTCTCTATAGAGAGGCCTAAGCTCACTTAAAGAATTTTGAAGTTTAAGACTCTTGCAGTTTCATTTTCCTTCATTTTGAGGTATATTTGATTTATGTTACTTTGTAGGTCGTAAATCAGAAACTTCCGTGAAAGCCAAAGCGAAAAAGCATTTAAAGCGAATGGGAAACTTTATGAGAGAATCTGAACGGAGACAATCTTCCCTGCGAATCGAGACGGCGTCCAAACGAATTCGCCAGAGCCATTCACGTGACGGAAGAAGAAGAGCTCGTGATGCACGAGCAAGAGCTGGTACGAGAGCAAGTGTAAGTTTGGAGGACATTTCTGATGAAGAAAGCATCGATGGTAGAGACAATCAGAAACATAGAAGAGTGTCCAGAAGGCTTCAGAGGATGTACCAACAAGATTCTAAAGATGAATTGGAAGAAAGCAGTACAAGGGGTACGAATGTTAAATCGTTTTATGGTAAGACCAGCAGAAAAGCGCTCAAACGGCAAGTCTCCAGTGAGAAGGATGATGACGAGTTCTTGGAAAGGCGAAGGAATGCCAAAAAGAAGACGAGTGCGCATAACAAGCGTCAGATTTTAGGTTTGTTTTTATGTTTCTTTCATATTCAACCCTGGTTAGATGCAATTTCACTGTTCCGTGAGAACATCGAATTAGGGTACTGATACTTCAGACCTGACATTTTGTCGAACACAAATCTCCATCAGTGATTTTTTGGTGATCTTTCATCAGTGATCTTTCTGTACGAATTATTTTCTTATATTGCTTGTTATTTGACAGCCGTTTTTGAAGACGAGGGAGACGATGACGGAGATTCGGAAAAGGAAAACCTCAAAACTAGTCGCTCTGCATCGTCTCAAAAGACCACACACAGATCCACGAGGAATCGGCGACAAGTTTCGAGCTCTCCCGAAGAATCTGAAGAGAGTGGATACACCGAAGATGCTGCGGAGCCGAACAATGGCCGTCCTTTAGGAATAAAAGACAAGAACGCGAAGAATTTATCTGCAAGCAAAGGCGGACAAAAGGCAGCAACGAAAACTAGAAGAACCGGAGAATCACCCGAGAATTCCAAACGAAGACGTGTCAATGTGGAGGTAATCATGGGAGAGTAGTATTCAAATGAGTGTGAAATTTAATTTTTGTTATTGTCAATTTGAGATCGTAATAGTTTTCCTTAGCTTCGACCCACTTGTTGTCAGATGGTCTGTACTGAAACTCGTTCCACTCTCTCAACAAATGAAATGAAAAACAAAAACCAATCATGACTTGGTCACCCTTATTCTTGCGCTTCACTAAGACAGTTTGCTTGATTTTACATTTAGTTCTTGTTGGTTCTCGGTAAATTTTATTTATTTCCGCTTGTTCGTTATCATTATTTTGGTTTTGGTCTTAAAACACACAATCAAAAGGGGCTCCTTTTGTATTTTTGTTTCGTTTTGTTCCTTTTTGTCGTCCGTGCTTGAGAAATTCTTACTCAATTATCTCGTGTCCGACGTATTTCCGTGGAATTTCAGTCCAACTCCAAGGAATATTCCCAACTCTAACTTATGAATAATGTAATCTTTCTCTGTTTTTTGTTTTCGTTCAGATGGACACCTGTGAGCAAATTTTACGAGCACTCCTTCGTCACGAAGACAGCTGGCCTTTTACACAAGCGGTTAATCTTCGTGAGGTAGGCTATGACTCTTCCCTCACTAAACTCTGCAGTCTGAAGTATAAAACTGTTCGAGAGCAACAAAGCCACAAAAAAACTCTTCAGCGAAGATCAAATGATAATCATTAGATTTGAAGACTGGTGGCCGTATCTTCGTTGCTCCACTAATTCTTCTTTATTGGGCTAAATCAGATCATACTTAATTTATTTCTACCTAGCTTGCAAGCGGGCCCACATTATTAGAGAGAATTAGCGCCGCGTTGACGTGAAAAGTGAACGGTTAGAGAAACCACGTGACCACGATTTCGCAGGCTTTTACCTTTTTGATGTTTCAGTATGTAGGAATTATTTTGACTAGAATAAAACTAGAGTAAACTGATGTAATACGAGGCCTTACTTTCTCATCTTTCCAGGTCCCAGACTACTTGGATCTCGTTTCGACCCCGATGGACCTGGGCACCATCAAGGAAAAACTGAATAGTTTAGAGTACGTGGATGTTGACAGCTTTAAAGCTGACGTTCGACTTGTATTTTCAAACAGTGACAAGTACAACTTGGTAAGTAATTGAGATCTCTTTTGTCTGTATGTCTGCGTTCAACACTGCTGATCTTGAAATTTAACCCACGGATCAAATATGACCAATCTAAGCTGACTAACGTTTCTCGCGTGTTTATAACAAAACAAGGCTGGCCAGTCAGTTTTCTCAAACCACACTCACAACATTCGACTGTCAAACAACTCCCCAACTGACCCCGATGAATGACTTCCGCTCAGGGCGTCGAAACGTCAGTCTTCGTCACTAACAATAGTTGTTTCCAGGACCACTCTCATCCGGACGATCAGATCAAATAATTTAATTTTTCTCACGCTCAACTTTAATTTTTGCAGAGCACTTCAGAGGTTGGACAAGCTGGCAAGAATCTGGAACAATACTTTGACAAAATGTTTGAAGAAAATTTCTCAAGCAAGGACAAGAAATCCAAAGTCCATAGAAAACGATGATGAAGAGCGTTAGGCATATTACTAGTCACAAAACACATGAAATCATCAACATTGAATTATATCCGAACATTGTTTTTTGTAGTAATTAGAAAATAAGTCATAAATGGAAATAACAGAAATGGGAACTAAAGACAAGAACTTACCACATTCAACATAGATGTGGTTACTTTGATTAACAGGTTTAGTTTACAAAATGTTTTTATTTTTGCGAAGATCTAAGGAAAAAAAATTGCTATTACAATAGATTTCGGCATGACCCGTTTCGTTTTTACTGTTATATCTTGTTGTGTTCCGACAACCTCTCGCTTTTATCTGGATCAATAATTTTTTCCAAACGTTGTCAGTACGTCTGTTTTTTCTTTCTTAATTTCTTACATGTTAAAGCATTTTCTATCTTGAATGTTTTACGTCTCATTACTGCTCCGTTAAACATTACGTTTGAAATCCCTCTTCAACCCTCGCACTTACAGCATTGATCAATCTGTCACAAAACAATAAGGTTTATGTTCAGTCAGATTCATTTTAACCCGAGCCTCTAGGCGAGGGTTAAAATGACTCTAAGTTGGGCCCAGAACATAAAATACCCGTAAACGTCAACCTTTATTGTTTTGTCCCTTAGGAGAGTCTTATCACTAAAGAATCGAGACATCGGCGAGAAGGTGAAAGCTTACTCCAAAATACCGTGAAGTCGAGTACTAACCCATGCGGGATGTTGGGAGAACACGAGTAAAGGTTGTAAATAACAAGCCGGAGGCCGCCTAGGCTATTACCCGGTAAACTGTAAGAAAGAGCGATCTAGCTCTACACTAAAGCGTACCATATTTCTATTGATTTACCAGTTCATTAAACGATAGGTTTTTGACCGATCAGGACTCGTGTAATATCTCAGTTATTTTATAGAGAAGTTTGATTAACCGCCTCCCGGTTAGCTCAATGGATAGAGCGCTGGACTGTTGTGCGGGAGGTCGAGCGTTCGAGCCCCGGCCGGACCAACACTCACGGTCTTAAAATAATTGAGAAGAATTTGCTACCTTTCTATAACATCAAGAAATGGTTAGATATTCTAGTCTTCTCGGATAGGGACAAATAAATGGAGGTCCCGTCTCCTGCAGGGTTGGGGTAGGAGACGTTTATTTCCCACACACGAGATTACTGTGTGATGGATGTCCTCCCCTGGGGTGTAATGGGTGGGATTTTGGGCGCACTTAATTTGGAGCCTCGCTCTGTTGTGCGACCCTCGCCACACTGGTGAAAGTGATTAAATAACCAAAAGCTCATACACTCCCGCCATTACCGCAAATTTTTCCCAAACAAATCGTTGTAAACCTCGGAACAGAATACAGACAAATGCTTTTTAAAGGTACCCTAACCCTAACCCTTTCTCCATTTACTGAGGTGTTTTTTTTTTTTTTTTTTACAAATGTTAAGTAATGTCGTACTCGTGGAATAATTTCAAGGAATGAAAGAGGCTTAGAAACTCTACGGATTCAGCATTATTCAAATGACTTTATCATAATAGTGCCTTTACACATCTGAACTTCTACTTTTCACGCATTTCTTAAACTATAAATTTTAGCTGTGGACAACTTCTTTCCCCAAGAAGGACTATAGTCTACCCCAAAAAAGTCCTAACCTACCCCTCCCCTAAGCTATCCGGTAGCTAGAGGGAAGTCAATTTTCAATACAACCGAACCGAACATAGGACAATGTTACAGTTCAGTTGACAAAAATAATAACGACAGACACGAGGTGACTAATCGAAAATTTTGTAAGCAGGGCGATTACTTCGTCGATGTAGATACCTCAGCAATAATGAAATTAATCGACGAAACGAAGCGAAACAAGAGTAAATAGTTTGTGCAATATCTCTCTGAAGATCAAAATGTTTAAATATTGATCTAATATAAAAAATATATTACTTATTAGTTGTAACTACCTTAGTGTAATTCAATTCATCTTCATTCTAAATCGAACATGATATGCTACGAAAACGAACAACTACGCTTACCCTACAATTATTACATAAAACGGTCTGTGTGGGCGACATTCTCAGAAGTAAGATCAGTTTTCGCTCCACACACTCAGAATCACGCGATAACAAGCTATTATAATGAATAATTGTGAAAGAAATTTGAATAAAAAACTACACCTATTTTCTTCGTTCTGGGATACCTTACGCCAAAGAATTTGGCAGATAGTGCGAAAGGCAAGTAAGACGCTTGACGCAAAAATAAAGGCCAAGTTAAATTGTCATTAATTTTACTCTCCAACTTTTAGGAAACAGTGCAATTCAATCTGGGTGATCTGCACTATTTCCTTCAAAATACATGACATTGAGTTCTTTTTTACGTAAAAAAAACAACGTTTTCTACCCATTTCTTTCTACCCGCAGAAAAAAACGTTAAACTCGCTTTTTTGAGTTTTCAAAGCTGTGGGAACGCTTTCATATTTCTTCAAAATAATTTTTTACCGCTGACCCATCTCTTTCCCGCCCTGAATACACTCCACCGAACAGGACTAGGCTCATGGTCAGCGTATCACCATTAAAGTTTCCGATCTGTCATAGAACCTATCGTTTTTTCCAGTTGTTCGCGACTGAGCGCATCTTAACTGAGGCAGCCTCAGTTTCACGTACGGCCTGTCGCACAGCTCCCATCAAGTTCTCTGCACAACCGACTAAAGTTTCTGTGGCTTCCCAGTCCGCCTTGGGATCTAGAAAAAAAAAGGTGAAAACAGTTAAGAGGTCTCCACTTTTAAGTTAAGTAAGGTCAATTTTCATTTTGCACGTACAGGCTTTGTAGGTAATTGCACGCAAAATCATCGAAGTGCAAGAACGATTCACTAAAGAAAGCGTGGATTCGAGCGCTGGCCTGTTGGGTATTAGCGAAAGACACGAAGGGATAATTTTGCGCAACTAAATGAATTCCTTGAGGTGAGGGATTGAACACCTACACGAGAACTAAAGGCCATTCTTGTCTTGATCGTGTGAATTACAAAATGCAAGCACAAACAAACCGAGTTGAAAAACAAAACATCGTTGTTATTCACACTGATGCAGTATCAAACGTAGGTAATTTTAAGGAAGAAAAACAAAACTTACCGTCAGCTCCGATCATCGTAGCTTTAACAGTGGCGACAATCTTAAGCTGTGTACTAATAGTAGGGATTCTCTCTATGGTTTGCTTCAATGTCTAAAAATAAAATCATATATGGAACGGCTTAAAACGGACAGCATGACTGCTGACAAATATGATTTTGTGTCTTCACCTGGCAATGAAGTTACAAATGACTTCAAATTTATTTCTTCCTATAGCAGAGTCATTTGCAGAGTACAGAGTTACAAAATCCAAAAGAAAATAAATAAATCCCGAAAAAAAAAAAAATAAATAAATAAAATAAATATAATAGGGCCAATCTAAAAACCCTCTGATGACAGTGATTCAAAACCATCAAAACAGCTGGCAAATTAGCTTGTAATTAGCTAAATTTCTATTTATATTTGTAATTTTTTTTTTTTTTTTTTTTTTTTCTAATTTTGCCTCCGTGCAAAGGAGAATAAACAGGAGACTGAAACACACCCTTGAACAAATTTAAGCATTATGCCAGTAAAGTTTGATACTCCACCTGCAAT